ATTATTATTATTATTATTATTTAATTTTATTATAATACAGCAGATGTTGCGGTTGGTCATTCCCCAGGCAGACATACCATTTGTGATGTGTTATGTTGTTAATATACAGACACCCTTACACAGTTTGGTCCTCATGGAAACAGCCGAGTTTAGACACCCGGCCAAAAGAGTTCCTGCAGGCATTCCACACTTATAGAGCATCCGAGTGCCAGAGGAACAGTTATGGCACTGTTAATAACAATCTAGGACAATCAACGACATTACCGGGGGTCTTGGCTGTAATAAGTGGCATCGGTTATTCCCATTAAGGATCCACGTTTGCTGGAAAGGTTCAGGCTTTGTTTGCGGATTGTCCTACCATCACCAACTGAGTGCCTGGGGGCCCCGTGCGCTTGCAGGTGTCACCAGGCCGGGGGCATCAGCGCCATGGAGACCGATGGGGGGGAGGGGGGCCGTCAACACTCGTGCCTGGTTTCAACATGTGACCCCTGACCCCTGTGTCAAATCCCTTCATAGTTTTTTTCCCCCAAAGGTCATGCGGCTGGTCAGCTAATGCCTTTTTTGCCTCAGCTGAACTTTGACCCCGCTAGACACTTGTTCAGTCTCAGAAGGAACAAAGGGCCTCATTCAGGTGTTGATGACATCTGTTGGTGGAGAGGGGCCCGATTCGATAATAAGTGGCACCCGGCAACTGTTGGGAAGATGGCAAATAAATTCCCCTCTCGGTTTAATCTTTTGGGCTCTGTGGTTGCGTCAGAATTTCCGCATAAATTTATGCAGAATTGAGTGCAATCTTTTTTCCCCCCGGTGATGGTTTTCTCCTTTGTGTTAATCAGTTTGACAGTTTGGCTATAAAGGGCTTCCCTTAAAATGATTTCTGCTAATTAAACACGTTAAGCAAACCTCCACCGGAGTCCAGATTCCGCCCTGAAGTGGACGTCAAGAGGTGCTTTAAGCCAAGGATTCCAACGCATTTTCAACCTGCATGTCCTCATTAGTGAAGAGTCAATTTTAATAAAATGACAAAAATGCTATTTTTTGCAAAGCTAGTTGCATTTTAGCTAAAAGCACGTTGAAAAAAAAGTAAAATCTTATGATACACCACTTAAAAAAAATTGTAAGTTTGTTTATTGTTTGGTATTGTATGTTGATAAATTAATGTTTTTTTTTAATCCTTTTTAGATCAAAATAAGTAAAGTATTAAAGAACATGCTATGCCTACAACATACCGTCTTTTATATTTAAATCATAAAGATATCAAGAGGTAGTTTTTCTTTATTAAAAATATGTCCGAAATGCCAATTACTGTTTTATTTAAATTGCTTTTTATAACCACAGACCCATAAAATGTATTAACATGCAAGCAAAATGGTGAAAGCAACTGAAAGCGAGGACATGTCGCATTACAGGTGGAGAGAGTTGTTTTCACTGAGCCTTTGTCACATTATGAAGAATCCGTTTTTAGGTGTTCCTGGACAGTTTACTGTTCTTGTTCTTTTCTCCCTTTGTTTATTTCTTAAGCTAACTTGTAACTTGTAGTTACAAATCTTTGTACTCATGCAACCCTGTCAACAGCGTTATCTCTTGCGTGATTAATGAGTCTTATTACCAGCTGTGATTCATTCATTATGAACTCTGCGTGTTTATGGCTGAGCTGCGTTTGTAAGTCCCTCTCTCCCCTTTCCTGTCTTCCCCCTTATGAATTCAGCGCTCACAGCACACGGACACACTTCCTCTGGATGGCTTTTCTCGATTACCTTCGTCTCCAACCCCCCGTCCCCTCGCAGGCATTCACACGTGGCTCTTTTGTCGTCCACTCCTGCCGATTGAGAACTCGTGCAATTTCTCGGTTGGTGTTAAAAGGGGAAAGAAAAGTCTCGATAGATTTACGTCGTACGATGTGCGGTGGGGGAGCCCACACAGCGACTAAAAACCTAAGCAACAGGTTTCCAAAATTGCGGGGCTGCAGTGACCTTAAAGAGCTTTGGAAGAACAGGGAAGGAAGATCGATTCTCTCCGCCGATTCAGAAGCCAGTCACACAGTTGGGGAGACTGTATGCTTGTCAATTGCAACCCCTCGACAGATGACTTTGGTGTGCTCTTCTGCAGAGATTTATCACTCACATAAGAGGCAGCGCCCAAGAGAGAGTCACCCCTGCCAAGCACCGCTGTCACATGTTGGGAAACAGGCTTGGAAAGCAGACCAAAGTCACACTTTGAGTTTAACAGAAATGTCCTCCATGTTCTGAGCTTTTACTGCTGCTAATACAGACTCTGTGCTGATGCCTGTCCTCAGCATCCCAGTGGCTGATAGGTAACAGGAGTGGCATGTGGCTTAGCAGGTTAACAGATCGGCACCGTTTGATTCCCATAGTCAGCAGAGTGATTTCACTGTTGGGCCCTTCAGCAAGGCCCTTAACCCCCAATTGCTACAGGGACAGTCTGAACCCACACTCTCAATAGGACATTGCATTGGATAAAGGTTTCTGCTAAATAGATAAAACTAAAGTGTAATAGAGAAGATAGGTGGTCCTCTAAAGCGTGCTGATGCCCACTGAAAAATGGTCCCGAGTCACACTGTCTATAAAATGACTCAGCAACTATTAAACTTTAGCCCAAAGTTTTCATATAATTTTATCAGCACTTTTTATTGTTCTTGATTCATTCATTATTAGTGGCTTTGGACTCGTTTTAAGAGCAGTTGGTTAGGAGTTAGGAGAGGTTTGTACCGGCTAGGGGGTTAACAGTATTATCTCTCTGAAGCTCAGGAGAATGCTGGAGGAAATCTTGGAGATTTCAGAACCCTCTGCTAGCCAAATATCTCCATCATGCTGGAATCCCAATAAATTACCACTGACTAAGTCCCCTGTTAATTTACTTTGTTTTCTTTTGTCATATATACTGCTGCCTTGCATATACAAACATAGATTTTCATCGATTTAAAATAGATTTAAAAATTGATTTTAGGAGCATCTGCATAATATTTTGATTATTACAAACTTTATCCATCCATCTTATAGCCGCATGTGTAGTACAAGTTCACGGGTGGGGGTGGGGATTGGAGCCTATTCCACACAGGGCACAAGGCAGGGGACACCCTGGATCACAATCTAATATCAAGCTGATGAGAAATATTTCAAAAGTTTATGTAACGGTGCATTTTCCTCTTTTCATAAAAGGTGTATTCCAGAGCACTGGAGGTAAGTACTCGGTGTCTGATCCTGCTGTAGTACTTGCTGTGAAAACTTGAATAAGTGCCCAGCTGTATAAAAAAGCCAAATTCAAGAGGGGGCAAAATCTACAGCAAAACATCTAAATGTATTTAGAGTGTTATTGGGAAGTGTTTGTGCTTCAGAGAGTTAATAATGACACGCTCCATGTTTGTGTGACTGGATCTGGTAGGAAGAACAAAACAATGAAAATAATGCTTTTTAGGCCAGATACTGGAACCAAAACGTGTAAAATGTCAATATAAAGTTTAACAGAAAGTCTAAGAATACAACAGTGGCCATAAGGTTTCTTTGAGGTTCTCAAACTGAATAAAGGCAGCTGTAGCGTGTGTCATGAGTAAGTGCGCTTTCCTGGAAGCCAAATGTCTCTAACTTCCTGAAATGGTGGGGGTCAACAATCTAACAATGCAGTTGGCATTGGGGGGTTTACTTGTAAATGGGGTCAGCTTACATAGTATTCCTACGCAGAGCAATTCTTTACGGCCAATAAATTAGAAAAGAAGACCTTTAGCTTTCTCACGACTGTTTCACCAAATTATTCTCCAAATAATACAACTAAGTCACCAACCCCAGCCAGCAAAAGCTTCAAACCCTGACGGACCCCTACATTAAATATCAAGTCGTTTATTTTCCTCCCAAATCTCTCTTCGGTTCTTTAACATCCATTTAAGGCCGGCAATGTATTTGTGCGCTGCCCAGTCAGTCCACAGTGCACCGGCTGAGGGTCCCCGAGGACTGGTTTGAGAAACACTGAATTAAGTAAATAAGAAAGTCTATTTTACTTTATACAAGGGTGTGTGTGTGGATTAGGTTTATATTACATTGTGGGGACCAAATATCCCCCACAATGTAATAAAAACCCGTTTTTTTACATTATGGGGACCATTTTTCCAGTCCCCACAACAATCTGTGAATGCAATCAAAAAAGTAAAAACGTATTTTATTTAGTTACTTACAGTATGGTTAAGGTTAGGGCTGGGTAGGGGTTAAGGTCGTCATGCTATGATTAGAGTTTTCCTCATAGAAATGAATGGAGAGTCCCCACAAAGACATGATTACAAACCTGCTTGTGTGTGTGTGTGTGTGTGTGTGTGTGTGTGTGTCTGGAAGGTTATGTGTTCAAATCCCATGGTTGGCAGAATAATCATCTTACTATTAGGCCCTTGAGCAAAGCCCTTAAACCCAACTGCTGAAGCAGGGGCATCAGAAGCATTTTGAATGTGGGGGACACATACTGGCGTAATACTAATATTTTATGTCAAATGTGGGGGGTCCAAACGAATGAAACATCCCCCTCAGATTTAATGGCGTCGACGCCCATGTGCTGAAGGGATGCTGGCTGACTCTACTGTCTGATCCTGACTTGTCGCTCCTGCTGACAAACGTGCTATAAAGTAAAATGTAACAAGTCCTTGTTATCAGCATGTTTGTAGGCTATGATGTTCAAAAACAGACAGATTGTCACCATAAAATAATTCAGAGAAAACTGAGAAGGTCCAGAGCCCCAAAAAGTACTGGAAATTTCATATAAGTATAAACCTTATCAAGGGGATGTTAGGATTGTAAATAAATACGACCTGTTTGCTTTTTGGAGTGAAATTTATTCTGACACATATTACGCCATTCAGGGTGCTACTTCTAAAACTGCAGCATATAAATGAGACTTTTTTTCCTCATGAAATATCTGATATATGGTGTTTTTATTTCTCTTTAATCAGGGCTATGATGCATTTGGAGTGAACTATTTATTTTCCTTTTGATTTAATGCAGGTGATTTAGCCGGTTCCAGTTAAATGGAGCATGCAAGATGTTAGGTGAGGGAATGCTGTCCGCCGGCCGCAGACTGCAGCCCCTGCGTCCAACCTGGCACTGCAGCTCACTGATACGTGAATATGGTGGATTATACGTCTGGTGTGCAGAAGCAGGCCGCAACACGCCGGGACAACGATCTCCATGGCATCTCCAGGACCGAAAATCAAGCCGTAAAGATAAGCGGCCGCATTGTTAAAGCGGCGCTGTGTGTGCGTGTTTCTCCCCACCGTGTCTCCCTGCACACAAACGGGCTGTTGGTTGCATCAGGGAGAGAGGCAGCCCAGAAATTGATACCATCTGGATGTTAATCTCCTGCAGATAAGTCCATCGCAGTTTAGACTTGTTGTCAACAAATGCAATCGCAGCAAAAAAAAAAAAAAAAAGACCAAAGTGCACTGTTTGCACAGCAAACCCCCTCGCTCTGCTTTCTCGAACGCTAATTGCTGGGCTGTTCCGTCGCATGAAATGCATCGCTTTGTATGATGATGTTTCATGCGGCCGTGACCCTTCACTTGTTCTTGGCTGTAACCAGACCACTAAGTTGTCCCGCCATTTGGTTGACAAGTCCAGCAATCAGTGTACTCTGCTGATTTAAAGAAAATACTTTAGGTTTTAGGGGTTGACTACCTTCAGGCTGCTGCGACTAATTAATGACGGATTATTCATTAGATCTCCGCTGCCAGATGTGCTTTACAACTGAGTTCCTGACAAATTGCCTTTTTTTAAACTAAATTGCAATGCATGGGTCAATGGCAGAAGTGAGCCTTGGTAATTCCTTCTACTTGGGTCCTTTTGGGGACATTATTCCCCATCGTATGTTGAAGTTCAAGATTATGAAGCACCTGTTGTGCTTGTGAAAGAGTAGGTGAAACTTCATGTAGTCCGTAGCTGTCCTTAACTACAAACAGCAGACCTGTGTTACTAGCTAAGCACATTGACACATATCAAACAAAATGTCAACTATGGGTCTTTATCCATCATTCAGGAGAGACAACATGAAAACCTCTATTATAAGAGAGGGAAGAGCTAGAACTGATGGGGGCTCTCTGTCATTTGGACCCCTGACCTCCACCTTGTCAGCATAGTGCTCTATTTGTTGAGCTACAGGAGCTGAATAAATTCCATTTCAGGCGTACTGCAAGCAACAAGAATTCCTCAATAGCTTTGAAATGTCACTGTAGGAGAAAGTGCCAAATATATATATATATAAATGGTTACATGCATTTGTTCTGTTGACTCATAACTACAGGAAAACTATATGACTATCTATGACTATCTTCTAAATGAAACATGAGCATCTGATTTCACAGTCTTGGCAGGCTTGCAAAAAAAATTGTGTGTTACTTTAGTTACTGTGGTTGGTGAGGGTATTAGTGATGAAAACTGCAAACAGAATGTCAGTCTGTTGATTTGGGTTTGCAAGACTGCTTGGTGGTGCCTGAGGAGACCCCGACACTCACTATAGGAGCGAAGATCTCAGGTGGGACAACTGGGCAGGAATAACAAGCCGTCGAGCATGATGGACACGAAACCTGTTGATGACAAAGATCTCTCCCTTGTCTGTGAGTCATATTTGACACTGGAAATAAAACTGAAAATATCTGCATTGTATGTCAATGCAGGGCTTTATCCGTAGTGGCTGGATGTTTTGTTTTCAGGGTAAGTGAAGCTGACACGTCTGTATTATTGTTTTAACAGAGTTAGCGGGTTCACCATGGTGACGTAAGTCCTTAATGGTGTTACGTTTTGGTCATAGTTACACGCTCACTCCATGGTCTGCCTTCTTTGCCACGCACGGTGCACAAATAATAGAGGGGTTTCTCTCCCCCAGCTTTTAGAGAAACTCTAAAAAGAAGAGGAAGAAAAGAAATGTGTTATGCAAGAAATCAATACGCCCTGGAAATTAGGAGATGAGAACCAGTCCACTCGCATGAGTTAAGCAATCAATTGCGGAGTCCTGGAAGGCCTTACAAGGCCTGAGCAACTCTGAAAGTAAAGCGTGTCTAAGCACATGAAAATAGTAAGGAGGTGCTTGAGCATAACTGAAAAAATATATTATTAGATGCCAGGAAAATCTCAGCGGGAAGAACAGAAGGCATGGACATCCATCTCGCTGTGCTATTGCAGAATGCCAGGTCATAGCTGTTGGAAATGTGGGCAGAATATCAAAGCTTGATTTCCATGTTAATGTGTTACAAATTATCTGTGCCTTTTTTTTGTTAATCAACTTACGTTTTTTGCAGCTTTAGGTTAACCGTGCGTATATTGTGACAGGAGCAATGGGGCTAAATCACAGAACAAGGTAAAGATGTGTGGGTACTCCAATTAACCCGAAAATCATCTGGCCATTTCCCATCATTACGATCCAGTCCACTCTCAGGCTTTGCTCTTTTTCATGCTCAACTGATCAGTATGTGAGCAAGCAGAGACAGACAAAACTGGGACATAAACATGTTTCTTTGGTCACGCTCCTCGTTCATGATTTATGCCCAGTGTAATGGGCAGCCACTTCAGAACTTTGGGGGGCAGAGTGCATTTCAGACTACATGTACACAGTATGAACATTCCTCCAACTGCCATGTTCCCTAATTGAAAAAACAACAAAATCCCCCCCCACTCCACCCAAAGCAACAATGAGATCCCTGCGTCCATCGTCCTATGACGTCTTGTTTTTCAGACAAACCCTCTTTTTTCGCCCAAACCATATCAGATATGAGTTTAAAACCAAAAGATGGGTTAGACAGTACACTGACAGACTGCGGTAGATGCAATCAGTACCGAGACACAAGTATAAATTACGTTAGTCACTCTGCAGGAGCCTGTAGCTGACTGACACTGATCTGGAAGCGTGATTAGAGAACTCTCAAAAGAAAATCCAATCTGTGCCGAATCATCGCTCCATGTTATTTGCAGCAAGACCAAGAACTAAATACCACTATACCAGTCAACCACCAGGGCTGTAGCTCCTTAAGAGCGACAGTAAGACCATGACTTCTCTTTTTTTTGTTCTGTATTTTTAGACTGTTTTTGACAGTGTCTTGGATTTCACTGTGAATACGTCCATCTGAGCTACATCTCTGCAAAAATATTCATCCGCTGGAGATCCGCGTCTCTCCTGCGCGTAATTGTCAGCTACGAAAATATCTGCCGTGTCATGTTCTGTGCACATGTATTCTAGATTCTCTTGTTTAATTGCTTGGAGACCAAAATATTTGAATGTGGACTTGTGTGCCATTGTCACAGGTTTTCCATTGTCTTCTTATTCACTTGGCTTTTCTGCAGCGCAATATTTTCCAGATGTGTAGGTTACTTTGTAATAAAAAATATAGCCGCTTCATAATTCAGCAGTCAGGCCGCCAAGACGAAATCTAGCAGCTTGAGAAAACTCACTGCGTGTTAAGTAGGGCCGTCTTTCGGCAAACGCTAACGCTGACTATGGAACAAATTACTAGCTTGTGATATAACCACTGAGTCACTTGGACCCCCCACACTGAGCTTACTTCATGAGCTTCTGGGATCAATAACCTAAACAGCAATCAAAAAGCCATCTCATCCAGCTGTCGGCAAACAGTCCTAATGAATTTGCCTGGGCCCATCACGGTTTGACGTTACGAACGAGCCCTATAGCTCTCAATAGAGCAGAGAGGTGTTCGGAATCGTTTTTTAATCACACGAGAAAAGCCAGATATATTGTCACTGTCACGTGATTTTACTGACATCAATACTGGACGATTTCAGTTCAAACATCTAAATGCATTGTAATGCAATGCAATGTTATTAGCTTGAAATGTGAGACCTGGCTACGTTCCACGCAGGTATGTTCAATGACGTCCTAGTCACAAACAACAATTCTTTGTAATGTCTAATAGAAACAGTGCGGTTGACGTCATTCCATGACAATGCAAGTAAACTGATAGAAACATTCATGCCTGGATACCACTATCTATCAAGAGGGCTCAGTTATACCTATATAGTGTAGACTTTTATTGGTTTACTAATGGGCATTTTAAGATTAGATTGCAGCCAGTGGCTTAAAGAAGATGAAGATAAGCTTAGATGGGATTAGGTGAGACCTGAAAATTTGGTCAGAACAGGTCAGAGTGTTTTAGAGTTTTTATTTGGGCTGGTGAAAAGGTAGTTGGTTAAAGTTTCAAGATGTACTACAATGTTTACTCTTATAGCCTGATTTGTCACAGTAACTATCTCGCTGTCTGTCTTTTGAGTAGGGTTTTTTCTTTTTTGTTAAATTCGCCAGATGTGTATTGAAAATAGTTTAAAAAAAAAAATATTTTGGTATTATTCTGTGTTTTGGGTTAGCATAATATTTTGGGATATAACAGCATGTATATCGCACATGTGTTGTGCATTTGCTCCGGTTTGGATGTTGCATTTGGAGCCGTGTAGAGGAAGCACGGTGACATAATGAGAATCCAACAAACTGGATTTTCGTGACGGTATTTTCCAGCGTAGCTAAATGAAAAGGTTGTTCACTCGAGTGTGACACGTCAGTCCCCTGAGAATGTGTAAATCCGTTTAAAAACAATGGGTATTCGGTCAGTCAGCCCACACTCTGGCTTGTCAACACGCTGTTCCGTGAACTAGGAATGTGCTGCGCTATTGTGCCAAAGAAATGGTGTGACCATGTGGAACCGGTCCTGTAAGGTGGGTCCTATTAATTGCTTTCAGTTGATGGGGTGGAATTTGGGGGGGCGAGGAGGGTGGGGGCAGAAAAGTCCCTTTTGGAAGTATTTGCCACCCTCATCCCGCTTCATGTGTAGTGGGTGCTGTTGATGTGTCTGACCTGACATCCCGAAATTACCATGACAATAGCTGATATTTCAGACGTTTCGGGGAAGAATGCGTGTGAGGCTCCTTTAACTGCACTTAGAGTAGATACAGTGGAGAGTGTCCTCAAGCATGTGCTCTGACTCAGTCCTCCATTCAGACACAGACTCCTATAATGTGTCCCTCCTCTCATGGGCCACCCAGCTTTGCTCAGAAAGCTGTGGCTCGTCGAAACCAGGCCTCCTGAGTCGCACGGTGAAAGGGCCTCTCTGCTGGCAGGCGAATCCGCGGCTCATTGCCGCTTGGCACAGCGTGACAAGGGAAACCCCATTCCCCTTTTGTGGGGGGGGGGGATTCACAGAGGTGACAGGCGATCGTAAGATAAGCGATGGAAATCAAGCATTCCGGGCCGCCACATAGCACTGGGTGTTACACGAAACATGGTCAGATAATAAGCTGCCGGAAGAGGCGATGTTTAGAAGGCAGATACAATGTAGCACAAGACATCAGTACGTTTCCTTTTGGTGCCTGGCTATCCTTTATGTTTTTTTTCCTTTCCCCGTGTCTAGTCCATTACCAAAAATGTCACTGCATTGTT